CCAAAACCAAATCTTTTTTTTTTTTCCAACAAAAAAAAAAAAAAAAAAAAAAAAGGATTATAAAATCAATGGGTCCACACCATTTGCATGAAGACTGTTGTTTTTCTGCTATTTCAAGCTATGATTGCCCTTTGAGCGAGGCTCTGGATCAAGTGTATTGTGTTGATACCGATCTCAGATGTGGTAGGAAAGAGAGAAAGTCTGGCTAGGAAATCTGTTTCTGTGCTTATATGCGGAATTCAAATCTTCTTTGAAAAATGACCAACACACAACAGGCAAAACCAAATGAAATATAAAAAATAAAGAAGACAAAAACGTTCTGGCTTCTGAAACTAACTGCTGTGTTTTAATGTGAACTTTTGTGGGCAAAGCCACTTTCTCAGACATAAGAGCGGAAGTACATTGCAAATATTTATTCATTTATACATTGCACCCAAACAGACTAGGTTTTTTGGGGGCAGAAGTTGTTGATAATATAGCATTTCACATCTGGCAATGAACTTTAAGATCCCTGTTGATATTCAGGTCCTCTCCCAGGAAGCATTGACAATGATTGTAAACAATGACAATGATTGGTGGCTGAATTAATCTCAGGCTGTAGATGACAAGCAGGAACAACAATAGGGTTAATTAGTAAGGGAATATAGCTGGGAATTACCACAGATACATGGCCTAAGAAACCTTAGCTTATATTGAATCCACTGAGATGAGTTTCAAACATACATCTGTAATTTTTCTCAGCTATTTCTCTCTGGATTCTTGTCCTGTAATTTTTCTTCTCCAGAATGGCAACTTTCTGATGTTGTACAGAGTGTCCAGGTATATTAAAATGATTTGAAACCAGTTTCTGTTTATTGCCATTCCAGATGTATGATTTGTATCCATTAATTCTTTTGTTCAGAGATCGTCCTGTTCGTCATGTGTAAAGTGCAGAGAGGCCTTGTTCACACAAAACGGCATAGATAATATTGGCAGTAGAACAGTTAAAAGTACTCTTGATGATGTGTGACATTGTTACATCTGGTAATCGTGTTGCCAGATTTATTCCAGAGTAAGAGTCGCCATGAGTAAGAGGTACACCTCTTCAGACTTGTTACTTTTCATGCAAACAAACTGATAGAGCTGGCACATTCCCCACTTTGCATGTTGAGCATTTCAAACGCTAGCTCTATGGACTGGAAACGGAGATGGGCAACACCGCGACAAAACTGTCAAGGGGAATCTTTACCTTTAAACAAGCCTTGGGTGCTCCTAGACCCATTTCCACCTCCCAACAGGCTGATTTCGAAAATCTGGGAAGCTAGATGTTTTTGGTGTTGCTGTAGAAGATTGCCAGTATGTCTGTATGCATGATGGGGTATGCTGGTTACTCACAGACACAGAAGGATATTCAGCTCTACTTTGATTATCTGGGTTGCCAAGCTGGTATAATATCCAAGCCTTGGGTGCTCCTAGACCCATTTCCACCTCCCAACAGGCTGATTTCGAAAATCTGGGAAGCTAGATGTTTTTGGTGTTGCTGTAGAAGATTGCCAGTATGTCTGTATGCATGATGGGGTATGCTGGTTACTCACAGACACAGAAGGATATTCAGCTCTACTTTGATTATCTGGGTTGCCAAGCTGGTATAATATCTGATGGATTCTTGAGGTAGCTGGTGCTGAATTAGGCAGTGTATATCACTTGATAGTGCAATTATATAAAAAAAGTTTTCACAGTTTCATGGATTGCTAATGCAATGTCTGATTGCATAATGATTATCCAGCAGTTCTTTTTTAAAAATACAGCATTAACGCATTACACATTTCCTTTCTCTTTTGGGGGAAAACAACAGAGCCAGATTGGAATTCTTTGAAACTCTCCATGATGGTCAAAGAAGCCAACACTATTAGCAGCAAATTAGAGAAGCACACTGTCTTTTGTAGGTAAGTGTTTGAGCTAAAATATTGGAAATCATGTCTATGTTCCTTTGGGTTAATGATTAAATCAGATTAAGTCAACATTTTAATCCTCTTTTTAAACATACAAATGACCAGGTTTTGGTAGTTGTGTGTGCAGTGAAAATTCAGTGACATTCCAAGAACTTGGAATGATTCTAAAGATGTTGCTTTTCTTATCTAGTTGCAAATGGTTCATTTGAAAAGTAAGCAGACCCTTGAGGTCTAGTTTTGCTTATAAACTGTGTCTAAAATAAAATCTTCCTTCTTACTCTGAGCTATCCATTGTCTCAGGTCTCAGGTGTGGGTCCCTGATGTTCCTTGTTCATGTGTTTCTTTTACCAGACATGATGCAATGGGCAAAGAGAATGGCACCGGCTCTTCTGTTCAAGTGCAGGTCCGTAATCTCAGGCTGGGTGTTGCGACTTTTTGGAACCTGGAGAAATTTGAAGACAAACTGGCTGCAATGAAAGAAGTCTATGAGGTTTCTTCTGATTTTTTTTTTTAATTAGAAAGCACTTCCCAATATCTTGGAAGAGACACTTGGGGAGATTTGCCAGTGTAACCATCAACAGAAGTGCCTGTCCTTTGATTGTTGGCCAACAGAAATCAGCCAGAATTACAAAGAGCTGCAGGGGAAGGAGGAAGTCCTGAGGAAGTCGCCTAAGACAGAAAAGGAAGGAGGAGTGGAGGAGAGGCATGTGGAATGTGGAATGACAGGCACAAGAAGAGGAGAATAGGAATTATGGGATTTGTAGCCTAAGAAATCCAAAATACAAATCCCTATTGTATGTTGTAGAGGCCTGGACTAAACCTAGTGTTATGATAGGACATAAAGTGTTATGATAGGACATAAAGGTTTTTGCTGGTATTTTAACCTTGCTGGGAGAGCGAGGGGTTTTGAATAGTTTTTTTTTAAAGAATGTGATAGATTCTTCCCATCTTAAAATATGAAGATGACAAAGAGAAAAACATTCTTAATGTAGCAATTACTGGCTGAAATCCTGCTACTTAGCATTGTTAAGTTGCAACTCAAGTAGGGCCATTGAATCTGTGGAGATTCGATGAGTCCACTGCTCCATAAGTTCCATTTATTCAGTAGGTATACTCTAGGTGCAACTTGCTACGCTAAGCAACAGGATTTCGGCCACTGGTTTTCATTGTGGGACCCCCTCACTACCTTTAAAGAAAATGGGTCTCTTTTCTTTCCAGACGAACAACACTAAAGAAGCTGATGATATTTTCTATGACCCCACTGATGAATGGGAACCTGATTTTTTAAATGTATCTGTTTCTTCAGTTTCTACAAAGAGGTGAATAATTTGTTTTCAGCTTTTCTAATTTATCATTAAGCAAATAGGATCTAATAGGGAAAAGAAAAGGAGCATGGAGTTGATGAGCATTAGGGATAGTTATAGATACCGTTAAGTGTCATATTCTTACAAAATGGCAATGTCTACATTGTGCAAGGGAGGGAAGTATTAGATGAGAACCTTGGCTACAGAATGCCTTCCTCAGAGAGGGGGCAGGAGAATATGCACATATAGAGTGTCCTGCTGAGAACATCTCATTTCCTGGGGTTTACTGGAGAGAGTGTCAGACTAGGACTCAAAAGGCTTGGGATCAAATCTTTTGGCTGTTAAAGCTCACAGAGGGATGGCAATGGTAAACCATTCCTTAAATACCTCACATATCTTGAAAACCCCAATAGGACTGCTGTAAGTCAGAATCAACTTGACAGCACATAACAACATCCTGGAGAAGCCAAGGCTTATGGCCAAGGTAGGCAGGCAGTACAAAGACTAACAAATGTATTTATCAAGGAATGGTTTCTAGCATTCTGAGAATTGTTGTATTCCTCCAATATTGCAAATGTAAATAAATAACACTTATCTTTTTAAAAATCAGCAAAATAAATTTATGAATGAGTAACTGGAGTCCTGTTATTTGTGTCTTCTTGTTCAATTCAGGAGAAGTAGAAGTCTGAGGAAAAGCAAGCGAATTTCTGGATGTTTGTCTGAGGTAAAGATGAGACTACACCACTCATACTTACCAGGTGTGTATTTACACAGTTTTGACATTTAATGTACAGCTTATGTTGCATACTTTCAGTAGGTTGTGATTTTCTTTATAACCTCCCCCAACAGATTTTTAAAAAATCATTGTGAACTGATTTCAGTTCTAACTGGTGCAAACACATTGAAATAAAGGGATAATCAGTTAGTGTTGGTGAAAAAATCCCATTCATTTCAATCACTCTACTTGAGACTAAAATTCACAAGGCCCCTACACTGGGTACTTTCAAATGCCAGCTGAAAACATGGATGTACATCCAGGCCTTCCCTCCTGTCAACTAGTGATTTCTTTTGCTTTGCTATTTATTATTTATTTATTACTGCACTATTTGTTATTGTTGTATGCTAATGTTTTTATGTTTTTTAATTGTTTTGATATTCTGTAAGCCGCCCAGAGTGGTAGAATATACCAGATGGGTGGGATATAAATTGAATAAATAAATAAATAAATAAATA